AGAAATAAAGAAGTTCTTTTAAACCAACAAAAGCAAAGAGACAACATACCAGAATCTCTGGGACACAGCTAAAGTAGTGTTAAGAGGGAAATTTATAGCACTAAATGCCCACATAAGAAAGTTAGAAAGATCTCAAATCAACAACCTAACATCACAACTAAAAGATCGAGAGGCAAGAGCAAACTAATCCAAAAGCTGGCAGGAGACAAGAAATAACTAAGATCAGACAAGAATTGAAGGAGATAGAGACATTAAAATGCTCCAAAAAATTAATGAATCCAGGAGCTAGTTTTTTGAAAAAATTAACAAAATAGATAAACCCTAGCTACACTAATAAAGAAGAAAAGAGAGAAGAATCAAACAGACACAGTAAAAAGTTATTAAAGGAGATATCACCACTGACCCCACAGAATACAAACTCAGAGAATACTATATTACCTTTATGCCAATAAACTAGAAAGTCTAGAAGAAATGGATAAATTCCTGGACACATACACCCTCCCAAGAATAAACCATGAAAAAGTCAAGTCGCTGAATAGACTAATAACAAGTTCTGAAATTGAGGCAGTAATTAATAGTCTACCAACCAAAAAAAAAAAAAAACCCAGGACAAGACAGATTCACAGACCAATTCTACCAGAGATACAAAGAGGAGCCTGTACCATTCCTTCTGAAACTATTCTGAACAACTGAAAAGGAGAGACTTCTTTCTAACTCATTCTATGAGGCCAACATCATCCTGATACCAAAATGTGGCAGACACACGACAGAAAATACAAAACTTCAGGACAATATCCCTGATGAACATCAATGTGAAAATCCTCAATAAAATATTGGCAAACTGAATCCAGCAGCACATCAAAAAGCTTATCCACCACGATCAAGTTGGCTTCATCCCTGGGATGCAAGGCTGGTTCAACATATGCAAATCAATAAACATACCATATAAAGAGAACCAAGGAGAAAAACCACATGATTATCTCAATACATGCAGAAAAAGCCTTTGATAAAATTTAACACCCCTTCATGTTAAAAACGCACAATGAACTAGATATTCATGGAACATATCTCAAATTCTTCTTAAATTTTTCTAAAGTTTAGAACTAGAGGGAATACTGTCAAACCCATTTTTGGGGCCAGCATTATTCCTATGTCAAAGCCAGACACAATAAGAAAACTACGGTCCACTAAGAGGAACACAGATGGAAAAATCATCAAGAGAACACCAGCAAAATGAACTCAAGAACACATCAAAGAAATTACACATAATGACCAAGTTGGATTTATTTCTGTCTCAACACTGTTTTTATCATGAAACAATGGTAAAGAGGCTAAAGAGACAACTTAAATACTGGGAGAATAGATTTACCAACCACAGTCTCTCTGAAAAGGTTAATACCTAAAATATGTAAGGAATTCAAACAACCCAATAGCAAAACAAAATAATAACCTGATTAAAAAATAGGTAAAGGACTTGAACAGACTTATCTCCAGAGAAGACATAAAAATGGCCAACAAGTATATGAAAATGTGCTCAACATCACTAGTCATCAGGGAAATACAAATCAAAACCACAATGATTTATCCCCTAACATCTGTTGGGATGCTTATTATGAAAAAGACAAGAGATAAGTGGTGCTGAGGGTGTAGAGAAAAGGAAACACTTGTAAACTGTTGGTAGGAATGCAGATTTAGGTAGCATTTTGGAAAACTTCACAGAGCTTCCTAAAAGAAATTCAATGTAGAACTACCATATAGTAATTCATGTAGAATTATCACAGTAATCCCTCTTCTGGATATATCCCCAAAGGAAATGAAATCACCACCTTATAAGGATATCTTTGTGTCCATGCTTACTGTAGAATTGTTCTCAATAGCCAAGATAGTGAAACGACCTAAGTATCTACTTATAGAGGAATGGATAAAGAAACCATGGTATACATATACAACAGAATACTATCTGGCCTTAAAAAAGGAGATTCTGCCATTTTCAGCAACATGGGTAAATTATGTTCAGTAAAATAAGCTAGATATAGGAAGACAAATACTACATGAACTCACTTATATATGGAATCTTAAAAACATAATAATAAACACAAAGCAGCAGAGTAGAATGGTAGTTGGGAAAGGTACAGGAGAAATGGGAGATGTAGACCAAATGGTATGAATTTTTTATTTACACAGGATGAATACACGTAAAGAACTAGCATACAGCATAAGCATTATAGTTGATGATATTGCATTGTATACACTGGAAATTTGTTAAAAAAATGAATTTTAGATACTCTTACCACACACGCACACACACATACATGTCAAAAGGAAAGGTGACTATGGAAGATAATGTAGTAATTTATTAAAGTATTTGACTGTTACAAGCACTTCACCATGCAGATGTATATGGAAACATGTTGTACACCTTACATTTATACAATAAAAATATTACTCATCATTACTGAAAAATAAAATTTTCATAGAAACTTAAAATATAAATTATATTAAGAAAACTGTATACATATTTTAAGCATTTCTCAGTATTAATTTTTAACATGGTGAATATTAATAGAACCCACATAAATAATTACTAAAAATAAAAATATCTGCCCCATTCTACTGAGAGATCTTCAGGGAAAATATTCTAGTAGTCCCGGTTAATTTTTTTTAACTCTATAGTTTTTGTGGACAGAATTACCAAGTCAAAAAATAATTTGCCTGTGAATCATCAGTTATTTCAGTGTCCTAGGCATCTCTAAAAATAAGCTGCCAGACAACCTGAACCTGGAAAAGAATTGAAAATTTCCCCATTCAGATGTATTCTTTTTGTTCACTGGTAATTGTTGGAATTTTGAGAAATCAAGTTGCATTCTAGATGTTGACTGCATTCAATAGTATGGATGTAATGAAAATGTTCCCTTATTTATCTTTATGCCTAATCATTAAACTGTAGTATGAAGTAAATACTCAATAATTCACTTGAAATGCTCCTCTGTAGTTACTGCAAATTTGAGTGTGATTATTTAAATGTCCTCCAATGAGGCAGAGTAGGATGATTACCAACCACCTGCCCATCTAATATATTCTTCTTGAAAGGCATCAAAACTCATGTGCTTGCAGGTAAGAAGCATGATATAATTATTTCATTTTACATTAATAAATCATGCTTCAGTTTACTACTGCAAGCCAGGGAGGACTGAATAGAAAATAGAATGGACTAAAAACTCTGAGAAATAAAGCACAGCTAAGGAAACAGCCAGAGAAGTTGTAGTCCTGAAATTGGCTGCTTTCTCCCAAACACTAAGAGACTTCCTTTCTCATAGAGATTAGATAATTTTTCTCACAAAAGTGGAAAGGGACATTTGGAAATTCTGCAACCAAGTCTCACACACCAAATGGCTTCAAACACAGAAATCTTAGCTGGGACTACAGGCATGCACCACCACACCTGGCTAATTTTTGTATTTTTAGTAGGAATGGGGTTCTACCATGTTGGCCAGGATGGTCTCGAACTCCTGACCTCCAGTGATCCACCTGCCTTGGGCTCCCAAAGTCCTAGGATTATAGGCATGAGCCACCATGCCTGGCTTTTTTTTCTTTTTTTCTTTTTTTTTTTTTTTTGAGTTGGGGTCTACCTATGTTTCCCAGGTAGGCCCGCAAGCAATCCTCTCACCTCAGCCTCCTGAGTTGCTGAGATTACAGGTGAGTGTCACCTTGCCTGGCATGATTTTGTCACAACAGACCCCTCTCTTTTCCTTTCAAAGGAAGTCACTGAGAACCCAAAAAGCTTCAGCCAATAACTAGGGAAACTGATATTTGAACTCAGTTCTGTTTGGGTGCCAAACTTCTCTGTGCCTCCTTCTGTGAAAATTGGAGGTGGCAAGATACACTGGCTCACACATATAATCCCAGCACTTTGGGAGACCTAGGTGGGTGGATCACCTGAGACCATTGCACTCCAGCCTGGACAACAAGAATGAAAGTCTGTCTCAAAAAAAAAGAAAGAAAGAGGAGAGAGGGGGAGAGAGAGAGAGAGAAACAAAGAAAGAAGGAAAGAAAGAAAGAAGAAGGAAAGAAAGGAAAGAAAGAAAGAGAAAGAAAGAAAGAAAGAAGGAAGGAAGGAAGGAAGGAAGGAAGGAAGGAAGGAAGGAAGGAAGGAAGGAAGGAAGGAAGGAAGGAAGGAAGGAAAGAAGGAAATCAGAGGCTTTGGTCCCTTAGTCTTCCACACTCTGCAATAATTCTGTCCCTGCTTGAATGTGATCTCCTTGAGGCAAAATCTGGGTCTCCTTCCTCTTGCGTGCCCACCCTGGTCTGTCTGTCCCACACTAGCTGCTCAATGAAGCCTGGCCCATGTAGAGTATGGGTTTGAGGCATCCCAAGACTTGGAGTTGTAGAAGATGTGAGTGAGAAGTCTTGGAATGCTCTGCCCATCAGGAAATGTGTCTATCCCAGAGTTCAGCCGAGAAGCTGTGCTGCCTCCAACGCCAGTGCTCAGAGCTCCCTTACCCAGAGTGGAACCTTGGATGGCCAAGTACATTGGCTCAATATTTGCCTTGAGTAGCTGGGTGCAGTGGCTTCAGCCACTGTTGGATCTGTAATCCTAGCACTTTGAGAGGCTAAGGCGGGTATTCAGAATATGATAAATGTAATATCTGAAATGTTTTGAGTGTAACACAAAATTTGAAAGCAATTTTTAAAATTAGATGTAATTCCATTACATCAATATAAAAAATTCCCTCATGGCAAAACATGGTAAGCAAAGTTAAAGGACAAACAACAAACTTAAAAGCAACAGTATAGTCATATCGCCAAGAGCTAATTTGCTTAATATAGCTAAAGCTCCTACATATCAATAATAAAACAGTAACCATATAACAGAAAAATAGGTAGCATATAGGAAGAGTGAGCTCTCAGAAAAAGAATTACAAATGACTCATTCACATGAAAAGATGCCCAAACTCTGTAATAAGAGATATATAAGTTAAAAATCAGTATAAAATAATTTTCACCAATCAGATAAACTCTAACAGCACTCTGTACTGTTGAGTGTATAAGGAAACAGACACACTAAAACCTTGTTGGTGAAAGTATATACCGATAAAATGTTAACGGAGAACAATTTGGAAATGTGGGAGATGATGCATTTACATGTATGTATTACGTACTTCAGCATTGATATAACAGGAAAAGTGGCAGGGACTACTAAAGCATATTACATGCAGTCGATGGGGTGAATGCTCTACAGCCATCACAAAGAATGAGGCAGTCCTATAAGTACCAAGATGAAGTGATCTTTTAGATACCCAGAGCAGCAGATCTTTTTCCTTGTTGGCTTCACTACTGGTAGAGTCATCTTTGGTAAGGTAATGCAGAACATCTAATTCAAGAATATGGCCTCCCATAAATACTGAGGAATAAAGCTACCAATTGGGGAAAGAGCTTTTTATAAAGCAGTGTAAAAATCTACAAATTACCTAGAACACAGAACATCCTGCAGAAAACTCTAACTAAAAACATCCAAAACTGAATTCTTTACTGCACTTGCATGCTAACCTGTCTCATCATCCTACCAAATCTGTTTCTTTTCCTTCTCAGACAACCCCAGATAACAGCACAGAGAGCCCAGACATCCTTAAACTTCATGTAAACTCATGATGTTAAAAACAGCCAGAGGGTGATTAACTCATGAACCCCAAGTGCGTTCTCAGATCATCCACAGAAACCAAAAAGCAGTGAAATTTTCCAAATGCACAGACACAGAAGCAGAAAGCAAGTGATTTAATCAAGACACCACAGAGATTAAAGGTAAGCATCTACTTACCACGTGAATGAATGTTTGTCTCATTTTGATCTGTCTTAACCAACTATACAAAATTCCTATGAACTGAGAAAAGATTTATTATACTCCCTTGTGAAATCAGAGGTACTAGATTAACTGATTCCATAACTGCTAAACTATGAAAAAACTAAAGGCTAAACTATGAAGCTTCAGTTTTATTTCAGGCAACCTCCTGACATAAACACAATCTAGATAAAAAATAAAGCTCAACAACATACACACATCCCCAGAAAATTACACAGAACACCAACACATAGAAAGGGTGGGCCTGCTTCCTATCCACAACACTGTCAAGCTTGCTCTGGTGAATGAAAACCAGGAAGCTCATCCCTGAACAGGATGAAGGAGGATGAATACAAGAACAAGGAAGGCCTTCTATGAAGAGAGTTTGGAGTGTGTCTGTGTGTATATGTACTTACATTTTTAGTCTCTTAGGTGTGTGAAAGGAAAATAAATCTTGGCGCCCCTAAATCACTAAGCTAAAGGGAAAAGCCAAGCTGGGAACTGCTTAGGGACAACCTGCCTGTCACTGAGATAGATGCATAGCTGATTGCCTCCTTTGGAAAGACTAATCAAAAACTCAAAGAATGCAAGCATTCCTCTCTCTCACCTATCTGTGACCCAGAAGCTCCTTCCAGCTTCAAGTCTCCTTCCTGTCTTTGCTTCAAGTTGTCCTGCCTTTCCAGGCACAACCCATTATACTTCTTACATATGTTGGCTGATGTCTCAAGTCTCCCTAAAATGTGTAAAACTAAGCTGTGTCCCGACCACCCTGGGCTCATGTCATCAGGACTTCCTGAGGCTGTCTCAGGAGCATGCATCCTCAAACTTGGCAAAATAAACTTTCTAAATTAACTGAGACTTGTCTCAAATTTTCAGGGTTACAAATAATACCAGCAAATCAGGAGAACTGCTGAAGGGAAAAAGAATGTAGTCTAACTTCATTATGACTACAAAAATGAATCTGGTATATCCATACAATAGGATATTACTTAGCAAATAAAAGGAAAAGAACTACTGATGCAAAAAACACCACGGATGAATCTCAAAATGGAATGAAAAAAGCCAGAAAAAAAGAATACCTACTGTATGATTCTATTTATATAATATGCTAACAATATTTTCTTAACGATCTAAAGGAAATGTTTTCTTCCAACATAATCTTCTGTACACTGCAGAAGGTCTTTTATTTTGCCTTTGGGTAACTACCCTAACAAATTTTATGTTTTATCAAAATAATTCCTACGCTATTACAATTAAGTTTTGGTTTTGTTAGGAAAAAACTGAGGTTAAATTTTTTTTAAGTTAAGATGATTATGTCCATAAATTAACCATTAATGTCAAAGGTACACTGATGCAAGACCAGCATGTGGGCCCCAGTGTCAGATTAAAAGGTTTTCTTGAAGCATTAACCAACTCCTTAATAAAGGTTATAAAAGGCTTATGGAAGTTATATTTTATAATCAAGATTAAAATTTTATAGATCATTTATAAAATTTTGAAAAACAAATTTAATTAACTTCATGCTGTTCTGTTTTTTTTTTGTTTTTGTTGTTGTTGTTGTTGTTTTGAGTTGAAGTCTCATTCTTCACCGAGGCTGTAGTGCAATGGTGTGATCTTGGCTCACTACAACCTCTGCCTCAGCCTCCTGAGTAGCTGGGATTACAGGCACCACCACTATGCCTGGCTAATTTTTTGTATTTTTAGTAAAGATATGGTTTCCGTATATTGGTCAGGCTGTTCTCGAACTCCTGACCTCCAGGGATCCACCTCCTTGGCCTCCCAAAGTGCTGGAATTACAGGTATGAGCCACTGCACCAAGACTGTGCTGTTTTTATTATGGCTTATTGTTTGGAAAATTAAGTATCCTCTTTCAAAGAATGAAGGATTTAACCTTTTTTTCCAAATCCTTGCATTATCACTTTGGTTAAATGAATGATTTAACAATGACCTGTGATCCTATTTTGTGATATCAAGTGTTTTAAAACTTTGATATTTGATAGACTTACCAAAATTAAATCATAAATTATGTCTTTTCTGATTTAATTAATTATTTAGGATGTTATTAATAGGTTCCCTAAAGTCCAAAAACAACATATTTGGCTTATCTGGTATAAAAATTATACAGGAAGCATTATCACATATAAAATGGTGTTTGGTTTTCTTTGTACTACCTTTGTATAAATATGTTATTGGTATGTGTTCCAAAATTATGGGAAACCCCTATAATATAGTATACAGAGAGACAGTGATATAACAGTGTGCATATCAATAATAATTGTTATGTTAAATTATTGTGTGCCACAGAGGTAACAAATTTCCTTGTCAGTTGTACCTTTGACTATGGCTGCCCTAAAAATATTTGTCATCCACAGACAATTGTAGACTTGTTTTGGTCCTCTCTAGAAGGTGGTTTTATAATCAGCTATAGAACTCTTAACAGGTGTTCTTAAATGCAGGTTTCTGATAACTTTGGAAATTGTGACATTAGAATAGAGGAAAAAAGAAACTTTCAGGACTCTCATGAACAGTCTCTCATGGAGAGCCAAAATGTTCATGGATATCAAGGAGAATAGGAGTTAACTGTATAAAGTGAACTGATAGAAGACTAAATAAATATTTTTGAATTTCTCTTTAAATGTTGCTGATCCTTTGTTGTTTTTTTCAGAGTCAAGGAAACTTTTCTTTTGAACTATTGACAGCTTTTAACAACTTAGTAGGCTGGGCATGGTGGCTCACGCCTGTAATCCCAGCACTTTGGGAGGGCCAGGCAGGCAGATCACGAGGTCAGGAGTTTGAGACCTGCTTGACCAACATGGTGAAACCCCGTCTCTACTAAAAATATTTAAAAATTAGCTGGGCATGGTGGTGCATACCTGTAATCCCAGCTACCCAGGAGGCTGAGGCAGGAGAATCGCTTGAACCTGGGAGGTGACGGTTGCAGTAAGCGAAGATTGTACCGCTGCACTCCAGCCTGGGTAACAGAGTGAGTCTCCGTCTCAAAAATAAATAAATAAATAAATAAATTGGCAAACTCCTATGACCAAAATTTGGAACATATTTTTTCACTATCCCTCCAAAATTTGGAAACTACTTGTCAGTATGATTAACCTATGACAATACAGTAATTTGCATAAGTATAATAAGAATCTGTTTTCATTTTGCAACAGGACACAATTGGAGAAACTGGCTATGTTATCAAGGCTCTGACTGGAATGGTGTGCTTTCCTTTAAGGAATCAAACTTGACTTATGGAGCCAGTAAAGCCTCTTGGGGAAACTGTCCTCATCCCTTCCCAATACAGGGTTCCTGACCTATGGTAAGTAAAGAATGTCACTTTCTGACAGGACCAGGAGCATCAAGTTTATCTTGGAACCTCAAGAGGAGAAGATCATCCAATTCATAGGTATTATATGGCAGAAATCCACGACTGGGCTTGGCTTTACATAAAGGTCTTAGCTGGATGTGGTGACTCACCCCTGTAATCCCAGTACTTTGGGAGGTTGAGGTGGGTGGATCGTTTGAGGTCAGGAGTTCAAGACCAGCCTGGCCAACATGGTGAAACCCTGTCTCTACTAAAAATACAAAAATTAGCCAGTTTGGTGGTGCACATCTATAGTCCCAGCTACTATGGAGGCTGAGGCAGGAGAATCACTTGAACCTGGGAGGCAGAAATTGTTGTGAGCCAAGATTGTGCCACTACACTCCAGCTTGGGGGACAGAGTGAGACTCCATCTCAAAAAAAAATTATAAAAAATTAAAAATGGTCTTATTCCTTCTATAGAACAAAGTTCCATCAAATCCAATTTAAAAGTGTATTTGAAAAATAATTATTCTTGCTGCACTGTATACAAATAATTAGGCCAAGTATAATAAAACAAATCAGTCCTACTATGACTTGTCTTTAGTAAAAATGGGAAACAGGAGAAAGAAAAATTATGTTTTGAAAACTGTAGTACACCTGTTGTTAGATTCTAGTCTTGCCTAATGTTTTTCAATTTGTATTATTTTTCTAACATTTTGACAAAATTCCAATTTTTTTTTTAAGACTAGTCTCACTCTTGTCCACCAGGCTGGAGTGCAATAGCATGACCTCGGCTCACTGCAACCTCTGCCTCCCGGGTTCAATCCTTCTCCTGTCTCAGTCTCCCAAGTAGCTAGGACTACAGGCACCTGCCACCATGCCTGGCTAATTTTTGTATTTTTAGTAGAAATGGTGTTTCACCATATTGGCCAGTCTGGTCTCAAACTCCTGTCCTCAGGTGATCCACCCACTTGGCCTCCCAAACTGCTGGGATTACAGGCATCAGCCACCACACCCAGCCAGAATTCTAATTTTTTTCAGCTACATGTCTTCAAAATAAGGTTTTCATTTTTTTTTCCTTTTTTCCCCCCATTTTTTCTAGTTTGAAGTTACTGAAAACTAAACTGTGCTTTCTTTTTTGTTATTTGTGAGACAGAGTCTTGCTCTGTCACCCAGCCTGGAGTGCAGTGACATGATCTCAGCTCACTGCAACCTCTGCCTCCTGAATTCAAGAAATTTTCCTGCCTCTGCTTCCTGAGTAGTTGGAATTACAGGCACCCACCACCACACCCAGCTAATTTTTGTATTTTAGTAGAGATACTGTTTCACCATGTTGGTCAGGTTGGTCTTGAACTCCTGACCTCAAGTGATTCACCCACCTCGGTCTCCCAAAATGCTGAGATTATAGGTGTGAGCCACCGTGTCTGGACTAAACTGTGCTTTCTTAAATCCCTGCAAACTGAAGCCAGACAACTTAAACTTCAGAAGAAGATAACAGCAAACTATTTACATACATAAGCCATTTTCATACCTGCCTACTGATATATGGACTTCAGAGTAATCCAGCCTGTAACTATTTTCCAGGATTATTCTTTTGTTTGTTATTTTTCTCCCTTCCTCCCCTTATTTTTTCTTCATAGGACATGAGACTTCACCACCTTCTAAAAATGAACTTTCCTAACAACTCAGGACTTACCCAACTAGGAATAAACCATCGTAGCCATGACAGATTAGACAAAACCTGAGACCGCAGACTCATTTTCTTCTAAAATGCTTTCTCCAAAAGATTTTTTAAAAGAAAAGTGAGGAAATGTGAAAGGAAAATATCTTGGGCTCCCAACATCACTAAGTTAAAGAGAAAAGTCAAGCTAGGAACAGCTTAGGGCAAATC